ACCTTGGAAAGAGAGTGTTTAGGGAGAGAAGAGAAAAGGGAAATAAGCCCCTACAAATGTTATCAGAAATGGTCAAACGGTATCGTTACCTTGATCATTTTTCACAAGCTTAATTCCTGCCCTAAGACAAGAATAGAAATAGAAAGGAGGAAATGGCACAATGAGGGCAATTCATGGCAAATTTTAGAGCATGACAAATCAGGAAGTTCAGGAGATCATAAAAAAATGGAGCACGTTGAATTTCTGGGGTTCTTTTTAATCAAAATGTATGACTCTCATAACACAAAGACTGAAAAGGTTGAAAATATGAGGACTGATTCAAACAGGCATGACTCAAGGGTGGTGGGGTATAGTTCAACTAACATGAAAGGAGAGAGACTCCCTTTGAATGCCAGTAAGTTCCGTCAATCAATTACCTTTTCTGCATTGTGTCACCTCTCTCCATCCGTTTTGCATTCTTGTATTATTTTGTGCTTAGTCTCCTCGCCAGATTCTGAAATATGTATTATTTTTATAGTATTAAAGGTAATAAAGCTATAAACCTTTTTTAGAAGGTTTGAAGAGTTCTGAATAAAGCTGTATAAGGTTAACATTACTGATCTATTCTGCTATATCCTATTTTATTCTATTCTGTTTACTTTTTTTTTTCCCCATATATTGCCATAGAAGCCACAAGCCTTTAAATGGTACATTGTGGATGGTGACTACCATCTGTCATGTCAGATATTGTTCATTTTCCTCTCCTTTGCTCTGAAGGAAGAATATGTTCAATAGAGGACCTCATTTTGTAGGCAGAGTGCTGAGTTTTGTAAATATCTGTATTTTTAGAAGGTACACCTTTTGTCCTCTCTTTCTGTCAGGGAAGACAATGTGAGTTGAAAGGCAGAGTCATCTATGTGAACTTCATTCCTAACCTCTGAAAAAATTATGATCCATCTGTGTTACATGATGCAAAGAAAATTAACCAAGCTAGCTCCAGAGCTGAGTGCAGTATGGTTATATTAGCTTAGTGTAGTAAGTAACATTTGTAAAGTACAGAGACAGCATGGTCTCTTCCAACCTCAGCTACTCTATGAAGCTATGATTCTATGATGTATCTAATATAGTGTAGGTGTACATAATATAATACAGGGAAGTCTTCTGCCGCCTTCATATTTAATTCCCCTTCATTATGTATGAACACCCAGAGAACTGATCTTGGTTTTTACCAGTGTTTGAAGAAGTCTTCACCTCAATTAACCACCTTTTGAAGGTCAGGACCAAGATCATAAGCGTGATTTAATATTCCAGAGACAGCTGATACAGAAAATAGAACAGTTTTAATGTGTTTGTGGTATCCCTTGTTGCTGAGATACCCTACTGAATTCTTGCTACTTGGATCCTCCCAGGCACTGAAGTCCTCATGCCCACATATGTCATCTTGATGTCATCCCTCTGAAAGGTGACTACGGTGTGTGGTGTGAATAACAAGTTATTAGTCATGATTCAGGAAGGGATAAAGTTTTCAGGTCAATCACTGATGACTGAAACATCATTTGGGGGTTCTGCAACTAGATTTTAAGGATATCAGTAAGGACACAGCAGTCGGCACTGAGACACTGATCAAGTAGTAACAAGTTGAAAAGGATGAGAAAGAGAATAATTTTACAGAGTTCCTCAAGAAAGAGTTATCTGAAGGCACAGTGGAAATCTTAAGAGCATGACAGCTCAGTGGCTAACTAGCACTGCTGACCTCTATTACCTGCCCATCTCTCCTTGCAGATAGTTTATACAGGGTGTGGAAGAACAAGAATGACCAAGGGCAGGCATCCAGGGTTATATGGAATTGGTCAGGAACACAGGTCCTTAATAAGGCTTTCTCAGAGGCAAAGATATACAGAAACAAAGAACTGATCGGGAAAAGACATATAACAAGACAAATCAGCTAGGAATGCAACCCCTGCAGAGTACGTTCTGGTTGAGGTGTCCATTACCATTATTACCTGCAAGTTTATGTACCCAAGGAGAAGTTGGACCACTTCCAAGTATGTCCTAGACCTCTGCCTCAGGCTAACCAGAAATTTGCCCATATTTCACAACAAAATGATGAGCGTTTTCAAAATAGAGGGACACTTACTAATTTTCTTAAATTTTATATGTGTTGTGAAAATAACATTTGCTTTATATCTGTGTGGGAGGATGATAAACAATTTATGGGGAAAACAATACGATAGCAGAACAAGCAGAAAAAGAAAAGATATAGGAATACAATTTTGACTAGATGATTAATTTCCAAGTACTAGTCCACTGAAAAACCCTTTCATCTCATTTTCATTTAAGAAGAAAGAAGGGATGTTTTTGCACATCTTACGCTTATCCAGGTATGATTTCTTGAGATGAACAGAAAACTTGTTTCTTTATAGAAGAGGGAGGGGAGATCCAGTAGTGCTGCGATGCAAACTTCAAAGGCAGTGGAAACTTTCCATTGGTTGTTGCAAACATGCTAACAAATCCTGTATACCTTATGTGGCATATAAGTTCAGGAATGTAAGATAATCTGCTTGTAAAGATAATTAATGTTTACTTATTGATGAACCTGTTAAAACGGGGATTTGATTTTAAGTGCAGCCTTGGAAAGTCTATTAGATAACATATTTGTACCCAGAAGGAATTCTGCACAAAATCTTTTCTATTATTTCAGCTAAATTGTGTATGTGAAAAGGTGGTTCTTCCACGGACATCAGGCTTGAGTAAAATGAAACGTAGGTCAGTTCTTGACAGAAATTTACTGGACCCCAGAGTTCAACTGAACTATAAAAGCTATACTCTTAATATAATTTTATTGTGTGACTCTTGGCACGTCCCAGCTTCAGCTGGGTGCAAAGAGGGAAAATATTGAAATACTATGAGAAACTCTTTATTAGTATCATTGTGTTATTTTAATTTTTGAAAACATTAAGCTGTGAATTGTGACTGGTGCAGCTGGTGGATATGGAAAGACAATGGAAGCTTCCTGGTTTATTGGCTGTCATTATGTTATGTTTCAATTGCCTTTCTTTCCTTGCATGTGTTAAAACTCCACGTGAAGTTGAGCAATGTGAAATCTAAAATTAAATTGCCTCAGTTACAATGAGGAAAAGGGGAAGGAGGTGGGGCAGGTGTTTACTTCTAAAGATAGATGACTAAAGTTAGGACCTCTATCTCCTTAGATTGTCTATCGATTAAATGGAGAGGCAGGAGTTCCTCCAGGGACTAATTCAAAGTGCCTTGCTAAGACTTCTTCTAAATTGTCTTGTGCTGGTGCATGTAAAAACCAGACGGTGCTTTGTCGGCTATCCAAAGCACAGTGTGTGTACATCTGTGCTGCTGATGTCCTCTGTCCTAGGGGTGCTGACAGACCCTCAGACCGAGCGGTGCAATGTGGATCACCTTCACATTGCTCAACTTTGTCCAGCAAATGTTTGGGAGAAAGCTAGTTGGGATGGCCCAAAAGCGTTCCAGGGAGCGCTCAACCACTGGAAGGGAAGAGACAACCACGTTCCTGTGGCGGGGAATGCTCTCTTGCACTGTTTCCTCCACTAGCATCTGTGCAACCACTCCGTGCGACTACTTCTTTTGCTGTGGCCTTCCCGACAGGGTGGATCCTGAGCCCATGGCAGGTGATCCCTAGCTAATCTGTGGAAGCATCTGCCCTTTATTATGTTTTCCTGTTAGAACGTGCGATAAATCTTCAGGGTCATCCCCAGGAAACACCAGGGCACAGATATGTTCTATTTGTCCAAAGATCAGGAACTATTAGTACATACATCAGAGGAGCTGTTTTAAACAAGTCTGTTCAAGGCTTCCTCTTCATTTCAGGGAGATTTTTGTGGAGATTCTAGGTGACCTCATGTAAACACATTCGTCCACTTGACATTTGTTAGCGGGACTTGAGACCTGCTGCTTCATGCTTTTAATTCCTTTACTGGGTATCCTCCAAATATTTTAATGGAGAGCTGGTAACTTCTAAGTGTGTTTGTCCAGCACAAAGCAAAACCATTTGTGCCAGGCACGGGGAAATTATTAGTAACTATGGCCTTACCCTGCTTAGAAACTGCTGTTCTCAGTTCAGGATCTAAGCACTACAAAAGCACTTTAAACACATCATTAAGCTTTCCCTTCTTGCAAAAGAAGGGAGCGGGGGACGAGGGCTTTAAGCCGGGAATTTTGCTGTGGTGTTTTCACTTAATTTCTAAGAACTTTTACTGGAAGCTGACAAAGTTTAAACACTATTAGTGTGAATAAATACACCAACAGATAGCACATCATTTTTTTTGATCTCTTTTTTTTTTCCTCACTAATGAAACAATCATTGTACATCTTTCCCTCCGTTTCATTTATTACCATTACGATCATAAGCAGCAACTAGAGCTGGTAACAGACCCAACACATGCCAAATAGAAAGGATACATCGCTTGTCTCCGAAAATTTTGGACTTTGAGGGGTAGAAAATAGCTGAAGATATTGCTCTGCATAGGAAGTAGGCCAAAGAACAAGCTGTGAATCTCACAGCTTCTCCATCATTGTAGTGTTAAGTTATATCAAGTTTGTTGGAGCAAACTTTTAACTTTTGGTGATTTATCCAACTGTTCTGGCTGATAAACCATATGTTGAAAAAAGGCTAATTTGGGGCAATTGGTACACTAGGGTGCCAGCAAATAAAGCTGAAAAAAGATACTGGAAAGCCAAAACCAGATCCTGGTACGCTGCTCCATCTCTAAGTTCGTTCTAGATAGGGAGTTTGCCTCCAGGTGAGGGCCCTGCTTTGTCTGCCAAACAATTATTAAAAAAACTTACTTTCCCTGAAAATGTTTCCCTGAAAACTTACTTTCCCTGAAATCAAATAAAAGGAGCAGTCAAGAGTGGAGAAGCAAAAATATTCTCAACCCTATTTTATAGGTGGGCACCTGGAGGATGCTACAGAAAATGAAGTTGCATTACGCTGCAAGGTAGGTTAAAAATCAAGAATCATGAGCATTTCATATGTTAGCACAACTGATTTTGTTTATTTTTCAACCACTCCAAAATCCAATCATGCCATATTTACATAAAACAATACACGGGATAGTATACCAAATGTAGGCAAGAAAAAAACAAGTATTCTGTTTTGCTTTGTCGGTGTTTCGAATTTCTTTGTTTTCATTGTACGTTGCTCAACCTCATGAAATAAGCTAACCCGTATAAATCTCTCTGGGTTTCCGTGTCCACGCTGTCTCTCTAACAGGAGACAGCCATCAAACTATCCCTTGTCTAAATGGCAAGTGTATAGCTTTTAATGTAGGTTTCTCCAGGCTGCATTTCTTACGTAAAATTATTTAGTGCAGAACAAGTGTATCAGCACCTATCCGATTTAGCTATATTCTACAGTTAGTATAAAAGACCAGCTACTCCTATGGGTTACTCAGGAAATCGAAAGTAGCACACACACAAAAACGAAAACAGAAAATAACTGTCCACATTTTTTAGAATGTTAGTTTTCTTTACGTTTCCAGTGTCATTTATTTTGCTAAGCGCTTCTGTAATTCTTTTCACTTGTCTTCTGCTCTTATTTTCTTACAAAACAGTATACTAGGCTTTCTGTATAAAACATATATATAAACAATGACCCCAAAATGGACTTACACACAAGTGTTTATTTGCTGTTCGTTAGAAATCCTACTGTGTGTATATCTAGTCATTGTCCCTGAATTTCATAGTACTAGCTATCAAAATGGGGTCAGGAAGAAAGGGGCCTTTTTCTTCCCGGTTTGTTTTAAAGATCGAGTTAAATTATGTAAGATGAACAAAGGCAAAGAAGCCACAGGAACAATCAGATCCTGTTTACATATTGGCAGCATGTTGTTCTTGTTGCCGTTGTTATCACTGCTCTCCAAATTGACTTCTAGTTATTACTTCCAGGAATTCATGTATCTGTACTTTTGTTATTATTTATTCCCTACCCTCATAATGGGCTGCGTGCAGGTTCAGGGAGAATGAAAGACTGGAAAATGTAAAAGGATCCGGCGACCTTGGAGATTTTTGGCCTTCCTAACAATATTTCTGGTCTCTTTCTCAGAGATTATCAATAATCCAGAAAACTAGGGTTCATTCTACATAATAAACAATTTTTAGTGGCTTTTCTTTCCCAAAAATGCTGTTGGGCAATAATTAGAAATAATTTTTCACACACACTGCTGGCTTTTTACATCACCTTGTATTTCTGCATAAATACTTTTTCTGGTATTGGTTATCAAACCCCCATTACTGGTACTGATGACTCTTTGTCCTAGATACCTATTCTTTCAGCAAACAGATCGGTCATTTGAACTACTTATCATTACTGAGCGATGAGCTGAAGAACAACCCACACTACAGACACCAGAAAACTTGGTGGCGGTGAGGGAAGTGTTATATTTTAATCCCGTTTATTTAGCTCTGGCTCAAGTATCTGATGACTTCTTGGCCAGAAGGCTTTGTAGTGGAAAAACCTCAGATATAAAAAAATAGTATAAGGATTGGGGGCAAAAAAATGGAAAATCATATTGAATTAAAAAACAAAGTACTGCTTGCTGGTTTACAGAGAGTCTATAACACTGATAAAATCTTCAGAAATCAATGACGTGCTTTTTCCCCCCCCCGTTTGTCCTTCTTTATTTTGGCTTCATTTCAACTCTGGAGTTCATATCGTCTCCTTCCAGATCATACTCCTCTACTTGGCCACTGGTCCACACCTTCACGCGGTCAGTCAGGTCACTGCTTCTGGGAGCCAGGATGAAGTCGTAAATGAGGGCAGCACTTGCTCCTCCGATAATTGGCCCAACCCAGAAGATCTGAAATACATTGCCAAGCCCAGTTAGTACTTCAGGTATCAGTGCATTTGAAGCTGTTGTGAAAATCTCTGAAGGTTTTCTGTACAAAATGTACAGTGAAAACTTTTAAATCATATATATCACCTGAACATTGATTTAAATGCATAGTCCAGAAGTCAAGAATTTCTTAATAGATGGTGGCAGCAGACTCAGAGATGAATAGATGTGACTAGATTGTCAAATTTATATATTTAAAATTAGGCATCTAGTGGTAAAACATCTCTGTTCACTCAAGTTACATCTTGGGCATACTCAGAAGCACTGAAAAATTCCTTTCTCACGCTAACTTGCAGTGATTCTTGGAGGAATTTTAAAGGAATACTTTGTGAGGATCTAATTAGGGGCATAATTTACTACTAGCTACTATTTCACTAGTGATGTTCTTGTAACTATGCTAGTCTAATCGCTTAAGGCAAGCAAAGTTTGGGGGGAGAGGTAATAAATGTATAGACTGATATTATTAGAAATAACAGATGATTCTGAGGGATCTGCACGGTCGAAGAGACCCTGAGTCCGAACATATTTTTACTTTTTTTCCAGCAATGTCATTGTTTTAATCTGAATTATTACCTCTCTCTCCTGCTTTCTCTCTCTGCCTCCTCAAAGGCAACCGATTTTTATACACACTTCTGAAAATATTAACTTAGCTGCATTAACTCAGTAACTCAATAGAAGTGCTTAAATGGGAGATAAATGACAAAATTTCTCCCGTGTTCTCATTTTATGCTTTACCCTTTAGATTGAAATGACATACATATCCAAAATTTTCACAGACCAATTTTTATACACACTGAATTTCCATGAATATTTATGCAAATGGCTGCAAAAATCATGAGTAGGAGAGCTGGAATAAGCAACATTTTAAATACTGAAGAACATGTGCTCGTTTAAGACTTTTATATTAGCCTTAGCCTAGTTTATTGAGTTTTAGTGAAACAAGTAAATTTTCATTAAATTCATCGTTTTGACCAAAGGGAATAACTTTAAAATCTACAGTATTTCCAGTGCCCTTATCCATAGAAGCACATAAGCAGATACTTAACTTTAAGCAGATGAACATTTTATTAGCTTTCGAATATTTTATGATCCACTTCAGTTTAACCTTCTTAAGAGCCTTCTTAAAGTAAGGTTTACCAGATTAAGCAGTAGCCATTTGCAAACTCAATTTAAACTATAAATACACAAAATAGGATTCTATGCAATGAGGCTTTACATTTTAAAATAATTAAAATAATTAAATGTAAAGGGTAATAACCGAATAACATCAGTTGCACTATTTGGAACATACACTATAATCCTGAGGATTTTGTAATCCCCCGGATTTAGTTAGGGACAGAAGATTGTTTTTGTTAAATGAAATACAAATGGCAACTCATTAATGAATTGCTAATGATAAGTGTTTAAATGTTTCTGATCTTGTGACTGCCTACATGCAGAGTGTCTTATAAGCTAGACCAATTTCTCCAACTTACCCAGTGATTTTCAAAATTGTTGGCAATCAGCGCTGAGCCGAAAGATCTCGCTGGGTTAATTCCACAGCCAGTGTAATCAATCTAGGAGGTGGAAAGAGAACCAGTGGTAAGGTATCGATGCAGATGTGGCGTCTCCATCGCACAGGAGAGCACCTTGCACGTGGCAGCATGCAGCCTGTATCGGATGTACAGAATAGCTTCTTTCATCCCACCCGGTTCTCTTCAAAGAGAAAGAAACTATGATCTTCCCATGATCTAGCTGCCTTCACCAGCCCAACCCAAGGTGGAACATTGCAGATAACAACTGTGAGAGTGAAAACTTACAGCAAGAAGGTGTCCCAAGGCAACGGAGAGTCCAATGGCCAGAGGTGCTGATCCCGAGACATCATTTCTTCTCCGGTCTGTGGTGGCGAGCACACATAACACCAGCTGAAGGGTAGCGATGATTTCAATACCTAGTCCTTGGCCAGCGTTGATTCCCTCTGAAAGCTGGATGGAGATAAGAAGGAAAACGTTACCTGATGTTCCTACCTGCCCTTAAACCAGGCATGATAAAGCCTCATGAGGTCTGGTGTCTCAGTAGGAGACTCCAGACACGCACAGTCAGGCATTTCGTGTCCTCAAATTGCTTTTACTTACTAAAAAGAGGAAGGGAAGAGAAATCAGCTGGAACGCTCACTGCTGTACTCAAGTGTCGATGGACCCAGCTTTTGCTTATGCAATATGGTAGCTGTGTCCAGCCAAAGAGAACGCTGAACCGCTAGACACGAAGGGAATATAACCAGTGTACACGTGAGAAACAAAAGAGCCAGAGATTTGCCTTCAGCAGAGTTCCCATCTGGAAGTGAACTATCCTTAAGACATCTGTTTACTGCTTCTGAAAATAAGGATGCTGTGGTCAGATTAGACATTTCTCAACATTGCTTTAACAACAACTACCGAGCAAACTTGGGGCAGGTAGAGGAAGGAATAAACAGAGAGCAGGAAAGGAGCATAGCTCTGGGTAGCTTGAATGTGCCTCTGCTATATGCAACTATTCTCTCCTCCGATCACTGTGTTTTTGTTTGTTTGTTTCTTTGTTTTAATTAAATAAGCGTTCTTCAAAGCAAGGATTACATTTGGAAAATGTCCTGCGATGTGCAGGCCCCACGAGTAGATTTTGTCTTAAATATTAAGACACCTACAGTATGATTCAATTACCTGAAAATATGCATCTAATGCCATTCGAGATGCCCTGATATACCTGAGGCATTCATGTGATGCTGGTGCATGTGATACAAGACCTTCAGAAGACCAGAGATGCTTGAAATGACTCTATAGATGCCAGTGTTTAGGTAGTGTTTCTCTAAACTTGGACATCTAAACAATAGAGTCAGTGGAGATAAAAGACCCATTCAGGTCACCAAATGCAGGTGGTTATTTGAGAGTGAAATGATTTGCTCTTTCTCTTTCATTGACTCCATTGACTAGATCTCATTTGACTATAAGAAGAGCTTAGACACTTAACTCTCATGTAGACCATAAATTTTAGGTATCTCAGATTTGAGCTAAATCACACTCAATTTCTTTGTGAGTTAGAAAAAAACATCCACAAGATACAACTCCTAAAGTGTTCATGGGGGAAGTATTTCAATTCCTTAGTGAAGTAAAGCAAGTTCTGTAGAAGGACTTGCACTGGCAGATGTAGATATTCCAATTGTGTTATTAATGATGAAAAAGTGGAATTTTTTTAGATATGTAACTGCTGTAGAACATACTGAAACCACAGTTACTCACATATATGAACATCAGAACAGCAGAAATTCTGTTATGTTTCAGGAGTACTGTTACAGACCAGTGCTTAACAAGCTACTGTGGACTTCAACCGTTCAGAGCTATAACAGGATTTGAATTATGATTCTAATTGCTATATTCCCTGGTGTCTTAGTTAGAAAAGGCAGGCCTGTATCTGAGCTGAATAACTTGGTGTTAAGTAGAAGTAACTTCATTACATGTGCTGTAGGATAAAACATGAATTTGGACACAGGCCAAAGTAACTAAGAATTGAGGCTGACTCAGAGAAAGTGAGAAGGAAGCAAATTTTGCAAAACTTATGCTCAAGAATAATGTTATCAGAGGGTTATCCCATCTGTCATAGCCGCTGCATTAAAAATTGCAAGGTCATACATGACAAAAACATAGCTAAATGTTACTGCGACCTGTCCGGAACAAGGGAACTACAGGAAACTATTCTTGAATCTATTTGCACGGTTTTGCAGCCTAAAACTAATTTTTAAATAACTTAAAACTTAAGGATGTTTAGCTGAATTCTTTCACTTTTCACTTTTCTTATTTCTCCTCTGTTATAAAGCATCATGTTATCAAATTACTAAGCATCTGTCCAGAGAAACACTGAAACAAATGGGCTGAGTCTTCAGCTAACAAAAATCTGTTTAGCTCCATTACAAATAACAAAATGTCATTGATTTCAAAGACCTGCCAATATGAAACATTAACGATATATTTTTGTATCTTGCTCTTTAATATGCAGTATTGATAACCCTTGAGTTGGAAGTAGTTTATCCACAGATAGAAGGGAATTTCAGTTGAAATAATGGACATTTTTGTTCCTTCAGCATCCAGATAGTAGACACTGTAGTCAGCTATTGAAACCTCCAGCTTGAGTAAGACTTATATGTGAGAACTACCAGCCGGACATGAATACATGCTGCCAGAGCTGTCAGAGGAAACGACATGATCTGAAAATCCATATTGAGCACTTGAGATATGATTAAATTAGTATCTTATTACTGTTATCACTCTCCTAAAAGTAATCACTTTATTTCCTACAGAGACAGTGGGATTTGCAACTTAATAATATATGCTTCAAATGCATCCCACTGATATCAAAAGTAATAGTATCACTTTAAGAATGTGGACTATTGACTCTCTGGAAAGTCCTGTCTCATATTTGGAAGGCCAATGGCCAAACTCAAAAGGCAGATGTATTTGTAAATAAGTGAGTAATTTAGAGACGCCTGAACAGGGGGGTAAGGAACTAAATTGTCTTCTATCATAATGTGTTTGATATTTTCATGTTAATATTTGAAAAGGCCTTGACATACGAAAGCATTAAACATTGAGCTACCTTTAGTCTTTCCCTTCACTTTGAAGGACTTCTACAAAAGAGAAAAAGACAATAAGAGCAACATTACACTTTCAAAAACTGTGATAATCCTTATCTTTGAGAGGCGGAAATCATATTCTTCCTTTCCCTCCAGGAAAAGACATCCTATGTGTGACGTGACTTGAGGTCATTCTCCCTGCTAATCAACACTGTTATTGACGGGCTCTGTGGAATCAAAGAAAACCTGGAAATATCATAGGAAACCTTTTGCTTTCCTCTAGCAATTCTACGTAGCCTGCCAGGGACATCAGATTCCACTGTGAGAGCAAGAACTCTGGGCCGTCTTCCAAAACACTGCAAACCAAGGCAAACATTGGATGACCTGGTTTACTGTGGTCCGTTGATCTGCAGTACGTGAGTATATTATCACAGACTTTGGTTATTTGCCTACTTGTCAGAGCTATCGGTAGCAGCCTGGCCCATTTAAGATCATGGAAAAGTATGATTCTTCACCACCCTAATCAAGTCTCAACCAAAGGGGAATGCGGGTAGCAGAAAGGTGCCTTTTGTAGTATTTCCCATAGCCGAGGAGAAATATGAAGTTAAAATGTAGATATATACTTATTTCTGTATAATCCTTTGTCACTGTAGAGTTGCAAGTGTTACCCAGCTTACCCTTAATACTATGTAAAACACTTAGCACCTTTCAAATCTGCTGTTTTAAGCTCCTGAGAGAACAAGATAGGCATAACCAACATGTGTTGGTTACCTGCCAGTCGTATTTTCACATTTTATTTACCTTTTTAAAGGAAAGCTTGAATTTTTGTGTAATATCTAACTCTAGAATCTTGAGCCTTCGATATAACTCAGGGATGTCTAAAGCTTAATCTCACTGCTTACAATAAGGTGTGTGGGCAGGGGCAGGGGCTGGCGCTGCCTTCTCCTTGATGTATCTGTGGGGAAACCTCTGGCCTCTGCGTCTCAGTACAACAACTCTCATGCTCCACGTTTTAGATGATGCTCGTTAACAGAAAAAAGGTCAGAGAGCAGGCAGTGGCAGTTACTCCCTGACCTTTTCATGCTTCAAACTTCCGAGGTCCCAAGAGTAGATTCAATGCTTTAAAGAACCAGATCTGTCCTAAGGAAATAAGACGAAACATGCAGGCCCATATTCATCTTCAACACAATTCTCCATAACGTAGGAGACAATCCAGTCTTCTCCTCCTTTGTGTTGACAAAGACTGCCCCACGGCACTTCATTTCTAAGAAGTCATTCTCCACTATTTTGGTAAAACAAGTTGGCCTCCCCCAGCACCAGGAACACACCTAAGAAATGGATTACAACACTTCAGCAATGGTAGAATCTGAGAATTATATGTAGACACATATCTGATTAGCTGAATCACTCTCTGGGCTACTCTAGATGTACTGACTAACTCTGCTTTGACTATAATAGCACGCAGACATCATGCAGAAGCCTACATGAAGTCCTGACTAGCCCAAGCGAAGCGTTTTATTCCTTGAGCTGAACCCCATCAATAATATTTTAACTGAATTCAGTGGGATTCTGGACAAGTTAAGGGAAGAAAAAGCCACTGGAATTCACTAAAAGTATAGAAATCACATTTCATTCAGAAAGCTGCTGAGCTACAGCTCTTTGGTAGGTAAGTAAGTGGTACTTGAGGGCATCCTGAACCGCCCTGTTCTGCATTACTGGAGCTAGGGATGGAGGATGGCATTCTTTATCCATTGAAACAGTAGCTTTCCTTGATAATGGCTCTATTGTCCCTGAGCAACTTAGTTTGAACTCAGTGTTGAGCCTGCTTTGAGCAGGATGTTGGACTAGAGACCTCCTGCTGCCCCTTGCAACCTGAATGATTGTATGAGAGGTTTTGATTCTTGATTTTGTTGGCAAGATTGGGACAGAATTGCCTCAGCCCTACTGCTGAGTTGTCTGAGTTAATACTCAGAAACAGCCATTGACTGTCTCAGACAGTGGATCCTTAGTTGGTGGATCACCGACTGGGAAGGCTCTGCATAGATGATTGATGTATTCCATATTTGTGGGTGAGCCAAGAGGCAGGTAATGTAATCCAGCAGAGATCATTAACCCTGAGCGCAAAACTTAATGGAAATTCACTAACCAGTCATGACCATGAGAGTAACTAGCTGAGATGGGCATCTGCTCTGTGGTCTTAGGAGGTAAATAGCAGTCATATTGCTTCCATTTGTCTACAAGATCAGTTTTGATTTAGCTGATACTAAAACTACAAAAGCTTCTTTCTCAGAAGTGCCCTTGACTACCATGTTTAGCTGACTTCCACAGCTTAAAGTAATAATGTGGGCAAAATAATGGTGTGTTTTCTTTCCTTTTGTTTTTTCA